GTAAATAATACAATAAGACAATGAATGTTTAGAATTACCTTGAATGATTATATTAAATTTCATCATCCGAATAACCCCTTTTCATGCTCTTCAACTGATTTTTCGCGGTCTTCAACTGATTTTTCGTTAACTTCAACTGATTTTTCGAGGTCTTCAACTGAATTAGACGGTTCTCAATAACCCTTTTCATGCTCTTCAACTGATTTACATGAAATTTAGTTACCATGCATATTGACTTCTTTATCAGCATATTATTATAATTTAGAAATATGAATATTCACTAGCTATGATTAGCTTATTGTTTTCATCATCTCAGCAAATGCATCTGAGCTCTCACAATAATTTGTGGAGGCACATCCACTTCTACATCTCTAGCTTCTTCTATTTGATTTTTTATATTTCTGAAATAATATAAGAAAGATTATAATTAGATGCAACTTAGCCCTTTATTAATATTACTTACGAATTAATTTAACCATCCTAATAACTTTTTTATCATGATCCAACTTAATCATTCGGATACCACTTTTGTCACGACCTAGTCTGATAGCTTAGAATTAACTAAGTCAAGAACTACGGTCAGACGGTGTTAATATTTCATTTTCTTTTTATATATTTTTCAAAAGTTTCTAATATATAAAAGATCTGATAACTCATAATGTGCAATACACAAAAATCAAAACTTCCACAAACAATTGTCTGTAGAAGACATTTCAAACAAGCACCAAACAATATATCACAATCTGAAAGAAAAAAGTGTAAAAAGAAACTACAAACACATCATAACATGATACCTATCGGTTGTAGTCATGTAAATTGTCTCCTATGTAAAACATATTAATCTACAAAATTTTAATTCCTAAAAAACAAGTAATTTTAATAGTAAGTTTTTCTTAGTGAGCAATTAAAACCTTAATATGCATTAAATTTACATGTAAATGTTATGCATGAATGACTAAAAGTAATGCAGTTCATTACTTTATAAAACAATAAACTTTCACATTAATTATATTCTTTCCCGTTCCAATTTAAGTACTTATCATTTTTAATATCTTTAAGAGTCACATCAAGATTATCGATATACCCAGAACTATCCACAAAATTGTACCCATTGGTAAATTCAAAAGTTTGCACCCGAAGATACATTTTTACAATTTTCTTTATCGTGCATAGGTATATTGCATCCTCTGTCAGCATCATCTCGGGGTAATCTTATATAATTAAACATTTATATTTAATTTTCTTTAAATTACTAATTTTTAAAACCTCGAACAATCATTTTTTTTCACATTCATTTCCTTTAATTCTTAAGCTTACAACATGCATTCAATCATAAATAAAATTGTCTAAAGCATTAAAGAAATTATTTATTTAATAAACTTTAATTTAATACATATAAGAAAATAATTAGTTACCTAAAGCATTAAATGACCTCTTCAATAATAGTTATCCTTTCACTGCACTAAATTGTCAATTTTTTACGAATCTCAAATCTGAACAACCTTCTTCCACGCCTCCTAAATAAACAAAAATTTTTAATAACATTAATTTTAACTAACTATATTATTAAACCCAATAATAATATAGGCTTTAACATGTACCTTATAGGCTTTCTGATCGACCTTCTCCATTTCTTGCATACAAAAATTTTCTTTTTAGCCTCCCTAATCTCAATTAACATTTTTTTACATTAACATATCAAATATATATTAATTTAATGCATATAAAATTTCAATAAATAATTCTAACACAAAAACTTATCTTAACTCTCAAACTAGGGTTTCACTAGACTTTAGTTCTCCACTTCACACCCGTGACTCTTCCTCTTCTCTCGTAATGGAAGTTTGCATCACCTTAACCCTCTAATTTGTGACTTAATAGATTTCAAGTAGCTTTCTATTAACACATTACTTAATTAAATCCGTACCCACACACACACACATGTATGTATTTATATAACATTATATATAAATTAACTTATTTTTAATCTTGAGTATACCTTTATATTTTCAACCAGCTATCCTAGCTTCACGCACGCTACTACACGAGCTCCTTCCTCATTCAGTCGTCGGTCTTCCTGTAGGAATGCCTCTTTCACACGAGTGTTGTGACCACCCTTCTCCTTCGCACCTACGGTGCCCTTACTCTCCAAACACTTGCACAGAAAGCTCTCAACATCGCCTCCTCCTGCACACACGACGCATGCTCGACTCACCGTAAGCAAGAGCCTTTCTCTTCTTCCTTCGATCTCCTTCAACTAGGGATCGACACACCAAAACACAACAAGCTCGCGAGCACAGCGTTGAAGCCTCTCAACCAACCTCTTCCTCGATCGATCAGCTAGGGCTCGACGTCAGTCCTACACACGCATGCAATGACTTTCTTCTCTTCTTCTCTTTCTTTATCTTCTGCGGTTTTGTATCTCATCTCTCGATTATATTGGTTCGAAAGAGAGAATATGACTCTTAAGTCGTAACTGAAGGGATGCTTATTCTTAGCGTCTATTCGATTTATCATTCAATAATAAGAAGTCTATATCCCACTAAGTAGGTCAGCTACTTGAATCATTTTTCTCCATTGTGTCCTATTGAGAAAACTAACCTCTCACGATGGTCTAATCCCAGCTCACGTTCTCTATTGGTGGGTGAGCAATCCAACACTTGATGATATCTACTTCACAATGATAAGACGAGCTAATATCAAAGGATCAAAAAGTAACCGCTTGACTGCTACAGATTAATTATCCTTATGGTAACTTTTCTGACAACTCTACAATCAATTCCAAATAACTAAATGATCGATAGGCTGCATTTTGACGGTTATTATTGGCACTAGAAATCAGAATCAAAATTTTTTCCCTTTCTTTCACACGAGTTTTCTGTTCCTGCTG